GACAAAAGACTGTTAGGCCCTTCAAACATGCTCCATTTGCTTCATGAAAGGGAGGAGGAGAAAATGGAGGCTGATGGGGCAGGAGGGACAGCTGCTGGCTTATAGGCCACAAATATCTGAAAGGCTGCCTCCTTCCCTACAGAACTCCTCAATGTTAGGGGAGGCAGAAGAGGCCCTCTTGACATTTCCACCTCTCTTGAATGCATGGAGGAGGGTGGAGGTCTAGGAGAGGGACCCTAAGCTGAGGATTTCCCACCCCACTGAGGTTCCTCTGGCACCTTCCCTGGAAAGCTTTTGTCATATGATGAAGACATGCCTCTTCACCATAGCCTTTTGGCCCACCCTATTCTTCTGATTGGAAATGTTTCTTTTTTAAAAAACAAACAAACAATTTTTATTAAAGCTTGAGAAACAAAGAAAAAAACAATATCCAGAAGTTGACAAGAAATTCTAACTGCTTTTAATATTGTATTGTAATATTGCTGCCACCGCCCATGCCTGAAAGGCATGAAAGACATTTAACAGATGATTATGACGAAGGTGACAGCATCCCAAGAAAGGAAGGATGGAAGGAAATATGTAGTCCCAGAATCCCAGAGACTTAGAAGCTATGGAGGTGTGATCCTCTCTCCCTTAGAGAGAGGCAATGATGGTGATGGAGCTAACTTACGAGTGAAGCAATTCCTTTTCTCTTTCCCACTAAAGAAGGCTCGTTCTGTTTTTCTTGCTCCTCCTGCCTTCTACCGCAAGAACGGGGAAGTTTTCTGTCAAGGGTCTCATTCTTTCAGGGAGAAATCCATCATTTCTCATTTTCTCCAATCTGAATTTTTGGTCCTTTACATTTCTTATTTATTTATTTCATCAGCATTATAGTGAAGATTCTCCCCAAAAGGTACATTTTTCCTAAACAATTCTGCCTAATGTATTTTTGTGTGCGCGCAAAGTATTTTCTCCTAATATAATGCAGTTTTGTATGTTGTTTTCAGTAACATATGCATTTATCTGCCCACTTTAACATAATATATGCATTTTTGGACACGTGCCTTGGCTGGAGAACTACATTGCAAAATGAAGGCTTAATTTCGAAGGACAGCTCTGGTTTGGTTTACATATTGTTTACATTCGGTAGGTTTGCTTTTAAATGCAAGCCGAGTCAAATTACTCCTCCACCAGAAGGCCGGAGCCAAAGATGGGAGGAACTGACCCTTTTCTCAGCCCCCCTTATGACCTCCCTGCTGCTCTCTCTCTCTCTCTGCCCAGAGGGTTGCTGGAAGGACAGATCACAATTGCTAAGAACATGAGAAAGCCAAGCTTGATCAGGGCAAAAACTTTGCACCTTTTCCTCACAGTGGCCAACCAATGAGAAGCCCCAAAACAGGCCCTGAGAGCAACAACGTTCTTCCCCCCAAGTAGGAGCTCATAGCTTGGAGGGAGCTGCCCCCCCCTCTTCTCACACCATGCATCAATCCACCCATTTGGGCTTCCTACATGAATTAACTGAAGGAGAATGCCATCACTTACCTCTTTGGGCGTCATTGAGTAATCAGTCACTCTCTCTACAGACACAATGTTGTTATCCATTTCTGCTAAGGAGCGCACCATCCAGTTCAAAACACCGGTAATCTGAACAAAATGAGAGTAGGGGGGTGGGGGAAGCACAAAATGACAGGGAGCTGAGATGGATTAGGTAGTACCGGATCCACATTCCTCCTATGGACAGCCAGTGTGGTGTAGTGATTAGCACGTTGGACTTAGGACGTGGGAGACCAGGGTTTGAATTCCCCACCTGGCCATGAATCTCACCTTGAGCTCTTTGGAGAAAAGGGTGGGATATAAATGCAATAATAAAATAATAAAATTAAAATACACCGAAAATTAAAAATGCAAATACAGGCCTTATAAGGAGGAACTGCACCCCCCACACCTTGAAATTGCATTTTCCTTTTATCATTCCTTGCCTAAACAACCAGGGAGCGAGGATTAATAACCAATACATTGAGTTAATTTTGGGGCAAGGAACAGGGAAAGACCTTGCTTTTGACAGCTAAAGAATCCCTGAGAGAAAGCCACCCAACCTTTGTTTAAAAACCTCCAATGAAGGAGCATCTACCATCTTCCAAGGCAGTCCATTCCACTGCTGAATAGTTCTTAATGTCAGAAAGTTCTTCCTGACGTTTAGTCGGAATCTCCTTTCTTGGAATTTGAATACATTGGTTTGGGTTCTAGCCTCTGGGGCAGCAGAAAACAAGCCTGCTCCATCTTCTATGTGAGTATCAATCAATCTCCTTTATTGGCACAAAAAAGTGCATCGTATAGCATGTGAATATAATGCTCTACAGCTCAAAATCCTAAGAGCCTCATCAAACCGATTCCTGTGCACTTCTTGCTAAACAAAAGCAAACAAACAACCTTGTTTTCTTTGTCAGATAAGGACATGGTGATATGTTCAGGTTACCTGCAGAGCACAGGAAACAGAAAAGCCCACGATCCCTGGACTGAGGTGTGATTTGTTCACCACAGCGAATAAAGCTGCAAACAGGACGATGCCATTCCCCAGGAATTCTGTGTTCGTGGCAAGCCACCTGAGATTTTAAAAGAGAGAGAGAAAGGTGCCTGGTTCTCACGTCACAGACTGGTTGGCTGCAAAGGAGTGGTGGGAGACACCAGCTGGGGAGCCCCCAGGGGGGGAAAGGCTCAGTCCTGAGGGCCACATGGAGAAGTCTGGAGGGCCATCGTCATCCCCCGGGCCTGAGGTTCTCCACCCATGTGTGTTGTGCCACAGGACTGTAAAGTCAGCCATTTTCTGGGGCCTGGAGACCAAGGGGCGTACTGTGCCAAGAGGGTAAAGGTAAATGACCCCTGGATGGTTAAGTCCAGTAAAGGCAACTATGGGGTTGCGGTGCTCATCTTGCTTTCAGGCCGAGGGAGCTGGCGTTTGCCCATAGACAGCTTTCCGGGTCATGCGGCCAGCAGGACTAAACTGCTTTTGGTGAAACGGGACACTGTGACGGAAACCAGAGCGCACGGAAACACTGTTTATCTTCCTGCCGCAGCAGTACCTATTTATCTACTTGCACTTTGACGTGCTTTTGAACTGCTAGGTTGGTGGGAACCGGGACATAGCAACGGGAGCTCAACCCGTTGTAGGGATTCAAACCAAGAGGCTTAGACCACAGCACCACCCACATCCAAGAGGACAGCTATTCTGAGCCCAACTACAAAAGCTCGGACCATGGCATTCTCTTTCCTTCTCAGAAGCTGCACTGTCATACCTGTCAGCCACCACGGCCGGGAAAGATGCCCTGTGGTTTTCGTCCACCTTAAGGTCATTCTGCAGAATAAAACGCCGCTGGTCCTTGTATGCACGGATGACGATACTCCCTTGGAAGGTCTCTGAAATGTGGGAATAGATGGGCGAGCGGCTGGCAGCTTCCAGGCGTTTCAGCTGGCAGGAGGTGGTGACGAAGAAGCTCTGAGGGACAGAAGGAAGAAGAAAGACACATCGCAGAAGCAGAGCGGCCTTCCCAAGCCGGGGTCCTCTGGACCTTGTTGGACTCCAACTTCCATCAAACCCAGCAAGCAAGGGATTGTGAGAGTAAAGCATCTGCAAAGGAACACTGAAGCAGAGTGTCTACTATTACAGTGGCTCAGGAAAGTAAGTCATTGTTTAAATTCCAATATAGTCTTATTGCTGTTCAGCCACTGTGTTGTGAACTGAGATCTATGGGCATAGGGCAGCAAACAAATTTAATAATAAATAATAATGATATTTTTTTTTTTTTTTTTTTATAAAGAATGGCAAACTGCCACATGCAGCGCCTTACTTGGATGTGTCTGGAGTCTTGGAAGCTTGACTACCCTACGTTCTCCTACAAATGGACCTTGAGCTTGTTTGGAGGTTCTAGCAGGGGAGCGCAGCTATTGTATACCCTTGACCAAAGAACGGTACACTCCTTCTATCTGGGATGGTCGTCCTCTTCCACCGAGCGCGCAGCTTCGGGAGGGACGCACATGGAGCGGTGAGGGAGGAAGGGGACACCCGCCTAGCCAGCCAGATCAGCCGAATCAACCCTGGCGATCAATGGGGTGACAGATGTCGCAGCCAGATCGCCCTCACATCCAATAAATAATAATGATATTTT